CCTGAACCCCTAAACCCTAAACCTAGGAAGTTGAGGGGAAGCTTCATGTATGGTTCAGGCCCGCGTTCTGAACAGTCGCTTCAAGGAGTACCAGGAGAAGTGCCCTCGACCTGGGCTTCAGAGATCAATACCGTAATTAGGGTTTAGGGTTTAGGGTTAAGGGTAACAGCTAATAACTATGACTTCGGTAGTGCTGCAATCAAACTTCTATCACATACCGCAAACACATGCTTCAACCGTCAATGTCCCCATATTGCAGGGTTAGCATTTTAGAATTTGTGTCAAGGGTTTATATAGGGCTTCCCTCGCAAGGTACCCTTCGTACAGCCTTTATGGCTGGTTTTCAATTAGCAGGCCCCTCATTGCCTCCCCCAATAGGGGCTGCAATGGAGATCCTAGTATTCGAGCCTTTAGGGGCGAGGGAGTTGGTAATCGGGCGTGCACATTACTGGGTATTGCGGGGTCTAGCCCTGTTCTACCCGACCCGCTGCTACCGATGGTCGTTTCAGGTAGTCTTAATTAAATGCTTACAGGTTTCGGGTAGTCTTGGAGCCTGAATATTTGTCAGGATTAGCCGATATCAGTCTTTAGGGGGGCCGTACACTAGCTAGAAACTATTATGCCCCAAACCCTGTTCTAACAATTCAGGCCGTTATGTTTGGGTTTTGCTTTTGAGACCTTTAACTTTAGGCGTTCATCGTTTCGGCCTTTTTCGGCATGCATCCAAAGGACCCAGCGATGAGGTTCGTGGGCTCAGGATAGACATTATTCAGGGACTTTGGGGTTTGGGGCTTGGGAATTTCGGGTCGTTGTGTAGGTTAGCATTTTGGGGAGCATCTCAGTATTAGCTCTTTGAACCCTTATATGGGCCCTGCAATCGCGAGCTGCTGCTTTATGGAACGAGCAACCCTCACCCCAAACCCTACACCCCTGAATCCCAAATCCTGAATCCAAAACTCCCTGAACCCCTAAACCCCTCAACCCTAAACCGTGAAACAGCAACAAACCAAGTCACCGGGCATCTTAAGATGCCTTGCAGGTACGGATACATCTGAAGCCTCTTCTCGCTGAGTGCGGCCAGGACCGCCACCAACATGCAGCCTGCAGATACTCCCGGAAACCAAAACTTGCCCTAAATCCGATCAGGTTAGTCGACAAGTGGAAAGCAAGTAGAAAGGGGCGGTTCAGCAAGAAAAATCGTACGACTTTGAACCTGTAGCATGTAAGCGTGAAGAGCCGGAAACTGCAGATCAAGACCTATCCCAGGGTTTAGGGTTTAGGAATCAGGGTTGAGGGTTCAGGGTT